GGGGTTTAAGCTTTACTGCACGCGTCGAGACAACTCTTCATGGGCTTCGTATTGGGCCTATATATTGGTCTTGGGCTTTCGGTTTCACCATATCGAATGGCCTTTTCCGTGGATTAAATAAATGCAAGTGATTAGTAGTACCATGATGAGAGATTTGTCTTAAAAAAATATTACTAGAGTGTTGAAGAAGCGGACGATGACAATGACAATGACAAGATGGTTAATAATTCAAGAGAGGAGGAGAGAAACATAGACAGGTGGATGGGATGATTAAGAGCAAGAAATGGGAGTGCCTAAGAAGCCAACACCCGCAACGAAGAAGGCGATGGACTGAAGGAAGAGGTATACGAAGAGATATGTCCTCCCGAACGCCATGTCGTAGCATCCGCATACCAGCATGTATAGCCCCACGGCCACCTCCTCCCAGTGCACCCCCCCGCTCCTCCTCCTGCCATTTTACAACATTGCTCTCCAGTATATCATCATCATCATTATCAACCCAACCAACCAAGCCCGGCCACTATACCTTTCCCAAGGCTTTGCGGGAACAAGCTGCGCTTTGAGAGTATTATGGCCTGTTTTCTCTGTTACAACCCACTCGTCAACTCTTCCGGCTTCTACAAGGCCAATCAAAGCCGCCTTCGTGCGATGCATTGCCATCACATTCTCGAATAAGACCCAGAACACCAGAAGATGGAACGACCTACCACAAACACACCCTTTTATTATTAACCCCATTCATGCTCTATTTTCCACAATGACCGACCTGGGTGTAGCCATGACGTTAAGGATGGTGATGGCCGTGGGGACATAGATAGTTGCCCATTGTGGAATCTCGACTTCAGGAAAGAGCACACTCGCCGGCAGAATCAGACAGTAGAACACAAACGTGAACATGTGTACTACTATCTTCCTCACAATGAAGAAGTTATAGATCAAATACGCCTTCTTCCACAGCGACACCCTCTGTCAAACATGCCACGCACAACATATTAAGGCTGTACATTTTTACCCTGATTCCACATTAACCAGACCCACGACAGTATACCTTGCTCTCCATTATTTCCATTGTCATCTTTCGAAAGAGGTTAGCCGGCCCGCAAGACCATCGGTGCTGCTGAAACCTGTAAGTTTCGAATGAACTTGGCAACTCACTTTTCACCTGAAAACGCCCAAAATTCTGTCTCAAAAATGTGGTTTCCCGCTTACGTCTTGCTCGTTTGTTCATAAATAAGAAGCTTTTTACTTGGATATCACCAACAAACACAAACTTCCAGCCCTGGAGACAAGCCCTGACTGCCAAATCCATGTCCTCCACAGTTGTCCGGTCCTTCCATCCACCAGCCTCCTTCAGCGCCGAAATTCTCCATACACCTGCAGTACCTGATGCCCCCCCCCCCCTTTTTTTTTAATTAACAACTCGAATACAGATTTGTTGTAGAGAAAAGGAAAGGAATGATGCAACACTACCATTGAATCCAAAGAAAGCATGGAGTGAAGATCCGCACTCTTGCTCCGCCATGAAATGGTAGTTGAGAGACATCTCTTGAATCCTTGTCATCAAGCACTCGTTCGCATTGACTGCGAGTAACCGGGGTGGGGGGTGTTGAAAGAATAGACTGGAGAATTAAGAATAAAACAGGGGATTCTTACCAAACTTCCAGCGGGCTTGAACGAGAGCGAGGTCAGGATTGTGAAGGAGGAAGGGGATGGTACGGGCCAGGAAGTCAGGATCAGGCTGGAAATCTGCGTCGAATATGGCAACATAGTCGCAATGCTTGACGTAAACGTGTTTCATGCCTGCTTTCAGAGCCCCTGCTTTGTAACCGTTCCTGTTGTCTCGGACCTCAGACTTTATGTTTACACCTTTTCTTGCCCATTTCCCACACTCCTCCTTCACCAGCTCCTGCTGTTTCCCACATTGTGAGTGTTGCAGCTGGTGCACTAACCATCTAAAGGGTTCAAGGAAAGGACCTTGCAAGTGAGATCGGTGGAATCATCAAGCACTTGAATTATCATACGATCCCATGGCCACGACATTCTGCAAGCCGCCCCTATTGATAGCTCACAAACCTGCCAAACAAAAAAATCCCTTTTTTGTTGGTTTCGAACAGGAAGCATGCTTTGCCGTGAAACCAGAGAAAGAAGTACCTCTTTCTCGTTGAACATAGGGATTTGGATGAGAACCATGGGATAGTTGGAGTGGGCGAGCTCAACGTCGTCTTTCATGGCTTCCCATTTGTGAACCTTCTCTGGTGTTCTCCTCAGCAACTTGACGATGATTACGACAGTGGTCATGTACACTGCCTCTACGAAGACCATCATCGACATTACCAGACCTGATGCTATCAAGCACCCCATCACCGCCACTACCACTTTCCTCATGCTTCCCTCCCACATGTATCCCGTCTTTTCTTGCCCCTGAAATCAAATCATCCATTCTCTTTTTATTTTTGTCTTGAGAAATGAACAAAAAGGAAAACACATCCAGGAGGAAGGGGGGAGAGAGAGAGAGAGAGATGCATTACCGGAAACAACCCGGAGGATCGAAAAACGCCATCGAGAAAGAGAGAGAGACTCAGGAAAGGAGACATTTTTTCTTTCTTTTTTTTTTAAAAAAAAATCGATTAAAATGTGGATCTCTCTTTCACATGCAGCCAAAGGTTTTGGTGTGTGGGTTTTAACACTCTGTGTTGTTACGCTAACTTCTGAGTTCAGGCTTTATTCTAAGCAACTTTGACATTCTCCGTTTTAAAATATTTTTCCCAATATAAAGAAAGGAGATTATAGACTTGTAATCCCATCACGAGACCTTCAAACTAATATACAATGAGTTGTAGAGCGAGGGAGAATCGTGGGGAAGTGGACAGACACGTCTTGTCTTAACAAGTCGAAAGGCAATCGAATAATTTATCACAACATACATAGCATTATATCATATCATGTATTGTTCCTGTCCCCTCCCACTTTATTTAGGGTTGGTTCGGTGGAACAACAAAAGAAAAAGAGGATGATACGGTGTCCATCTACGAACCATGTGTTGACACGTGTTTATCACAATACAGAGAATTTACCACATGGGTGAATTGTTTGATGATGGGTCTTGGGTTGGGCCCGGGCCCTCTTTAATAATCGTCTATGGGCTTTTGAAATGTCGGGCCCAAACGCCTTGGTCTGTTAGGTCATCATCCATAACGTGCGTTTGAAATTTGGCTCTAGGCTCTCCAATCGGACTCCGTTTTGTTTTGGGGGTCGTCGGTCTACGATCGCGGGGTCGTGTTTGTTTAGTGGTAACTTCAATTGGATCTCTGTCGTCTATGCGTGTACAGGCCGATCTGTACTCTGAGATTAGCGTTTTCCGGTGTTCATTATGGGGGTTGCTCAAGTTTCTTCTCCGAGTCTTGAACGCATGTGCTCAAATATATCTGCCTTATTCCAATAAATTGCAGTAATGTTTGGACGTCATCCGAGGAGATGAGCTGAAGAGGGCCTACAAGAAGGCCGCCATCAAGAATCATCCCGATAAAGGTCTCCGCCTTTCTCACTCGTTTCCCTCTTTTTTTGTTTATCCGTCATTGTAATTGTATGTTATTTGCTCCCTTTAGTTCAAGTAAGTGGCCCATGCTTATGAAGTTCTTAGCGACCCAGAGAGAAGAGAGATCTATGACCGATACGGTGAAGATGCTCTTAAAGAGGGAATGGGAGGAGGCGGTCCTGCTCATAATCCTTTTGATTTATTTGAGTCGTTTTTTGCTGCCGGTGAGTGGTCAAGCTCCTGCTCGATTTGCAGGTTCTCTCTATGTGTGAGAAGGCACTGACGCTCAACCTTGTAGGTGGTAGTAGTAGCTCCAGAGGGTGATGACGTGGTGCAGAGCCTGAAGGTTTCTCTTGAAGATTTGTACAACCAAGAGACTTTCTCTGTCAAGGAATATCATCTGTGTCAAATGCAGAGGGTATGGTGTCTTTTGCATTTTGTTTTGATGTTTCCATCACGGATATACACTTCCTTGGGTTTCTTTTGCGCTTGTTCATTTTCAGAAAAGGTTCCAAAAGTGGAGCATCTGGTAGTTGTCACAGTTGTGGTGGTACGGGAATGACATAGGCTTGGGCATGATTCAGCGGATGCAGAGTGTTTGCCCTGATTGCCAAGGCTCAGGTACCGTGTTCTTCTTCTAGCTTTTTTGGTTCTTTCCTCCATCATAAGTTACTCATAGTCTCCAACTTTCAGGAGAGGTGATCAGGGAGCGAGATAAATGTCCTCAATGTAAAGGAAACAAGGTTTCCCAGGAGAAGAAGGTCGTGGAGGTGCATGTAGAGAAGGGAATGCAACACGGGCAGAAAATTGTACTTGAAGGACTAGCCGATGAAGCTGTAAGTCTGCTGTCCAATCTTTTCTTTTAAAACTTTGTTATGATCCCGCTTCAAGTTTAGCTTTCTTTTTATATTTTGACTCATTTCCATCTACAAGTTGGTTTTCAAGTGTAAGTGGCTTTCATGGTAATTGCGTTTGACCTGTTGTCGTTGGTTGCGCTATATAGATCAGGATCATTTGAAAACAAAAGTTGGTCACAATGGACACATGAATTAAATGAGGATTTTGTTGCCATTTGTTTTAGGTGTGCGCGCTAGTAGAGAGCCATGTTGTTCCTGCGTTTGTTCCTTGCAGCCGGACACAGTAACTGGAAATGTAGTCATAGTGTTGCAACTGAAGGCGCACCCGAGGTTTAAACGGAAGTTTGATGACCTTTACATAGAACACACACTAACGTTAACAGAGTCGCTCTGCGGGTTTCAGTTTGCCTTGACTCATCTCGACGGCAGACAGCTCCTCATAAAATCAAACCCTGGAGAGGTCATGAAGCCTGGTAATCTTTCTTTTTCTTATTCTATTTGTGAGAGAGTATCCGATTTTCACCGGGTTTTATTCAAACCTTGAAGGTCAACGCAAGGCAATTAATGATGAGGGCATGCCACAACAGGGAAGGCCTTTCATGAAGGGAAGGTTGTACATCCAATTCAATGTTGAATATCCAGACTCGGGCTTCCTTTCCACCGATCAGTGCAAGAAGCTAGAGACGGTACTGCCAGTCAGGACGAGCAAACAGGTCTCAGATACGGAACTAGAGGAATGTGAAGAGACAGCGATGCATGATGTCAACATGGAGGATGAGATGAGACGCAGCAGACAGCAGCAGCGTAGGCGAGAGGCGTATGATGATGACGATGAGGGTTGCATGCCCCGAGTTCAGTGCGCCCAGCAATAGAAGGACAAAACAGATTAATGTTTTAGTTCCAGTTTCCTAGGTCATGAATCTTCCTGTTAAAGTTGGAGTTTTTTTATATAAGCGGTCATGGCCTTTTTGGTTTTTTTTGGCATCACAAGATGGGCCAGGGTGGACATATTTACAGATGGAATTGTGGGTAAATAAATAACACAAGGCTTGAACTCCCCTTCCCCTGACTCACAAATTCACTCAATTGGGCAATTGAGTGCATATAATCACAATATATATATATATATATGGATCAGACGTGGCGGTCTATACTAATTTCTGAGCCTGTGCGGGTTTTGCTTTCTGCAAGTCGTTGGTTGTCTTTTGTCCTTTTGACATTAACAAAATAAAGAAAAAAACAGGAACCCTAGAAATGTCACAATCGTCATCACCGGAGAAAATCGAAGACGATAAAACCCCCAATCCCACCAGCAACCAAATCCTGAAGCAGCATTTTCAACCACCCAAGAGGATCAGACCTCTCAGCTTGCCCGATGTTCTTCTCAGGATGCACCATCATCGCCCCCACCGTTTGTCTTTCTCCGCCGCTGCCCTTTCTCCTCGCTCCGCCTCCTCCCCTCTCTCCGATTCCGATTTTCCTGACTCCTTTGACTCTCCCCGACAGGACTACACCTCCCTCCTCTCCGATGGGCTTCTCCTCACCATCTTCTCTCAACTTCCCATTTCTCAGCATCTCACGACTTCGCTGGTTTGCAAGCGGTGGTTGTCCCTTCATGGCCGCTTGGTTCAATCCCTGAAGCTTAACGTTTGGGATTTCCTCGCGTCTGGTCGGGTTTTCGCACGGTTCCCTAATCTCACCCATATCGATGTCGTCCGTTCGTGTATCTGTGCGACCCCAAACCTTGGTATCGTCTTGACTCTTAAGTCCTTATCTGTTCATATAAATTCCCATCTCGCTCAGGATGGGTTTATTGGGAAAGATGATCTATTGCCGTCGGACAAGATTGATCAAGGTCTTGAACTGATTGCCGAAAAGTACCCCAATTTGAGGAGAATTGCAGCGATAGGTGCTAGTGAAGATGGGTTGTCTAGCATAGCCGACAAGTGTCTGACGTTGCAGGAACTGGAGCTTCATAGCTGCGGAGATTTGTCGTTAAAAGGTGTTGCAGGATGTAGGAATTTGCAAGTAGTGAAATTGATAGGAACAGTGGACGGGTTTAATAATTCGGTGGTGTCAGATATTGGGTTAACTCTCCTAGCACAAGGGTGTAAGAGATTAGTGAAGCTTGAGCTATGCGGTTGTGAAGGAAGTTATGATGGGATCAAAGCAATTGGGCAGTGCTGTCAAATGCTCGAGGAATTGACTCTGCAAGATCATCGAATGGATGATGGGTGGTTGGCGGCTCTGTGTTTTTGTGGAAATTTGAAGACTTTGAAGCTTCAAGCCTGTAAGGCTATTGATTCAAATCCTGGACTGGATGAGCATCTGGGAGTGTGTCCGATGCTCGAAGAGGTGCATTTAGAGAGATGTCAATTGAGGAATAGAAATAGCACAAAAGCTTTATTTTTGGTTTGTGGCAATGTGCGAGATATTGCGCTGTGTAACTGCTGGGGTTTGGAAGATGATTTATTTGCCTTAGCCACTATCTGTAGGTAAGGAAAGAATCCTGTTTCTGTGCTCTCTGTGACCTGAAACTGCTGTTTTTAGAATTGTTTTGTGCTTTGAATCTGCTTATTGACAGAACAATAACTTAATCATATGTTTCACATAGATCTCAGCAATACAAAACTGATGCATATGACATCTTGGTTATCGATCGGTAGTCATCTCATAAGCCACACTTCCATGTACAAGAGCG